CGCAGACCAAACGGATGTCATATATTTCTTAGTTTATTTGATTGAGTCTCATCCTCAAATCTTGTGTTTATCCCTCGGGGTAGATATAGGATTTGAGGTAGAGTGCTCTTTCATTTAAACTGTGAAAAATATGAGGTCAGTTTGATTTCATATTTTTCTAAAATTATATATATATACGTAAATTAAAAAGTCCTTCCGAAGCGGGCGACGGGATTTCGATTCCGGCGACCGAAAGCTTTTTACGGGCGACCCCCAAACATAACTTTCTTCTTTTAAGTGCCGACAAACATATAGAATTTTTTTTAATTAATATGCATTAAAAATTTATTAATAGTTGACAAAAATAATTAATCAAATATTTGAAGTTTCAAATGATTTTATGATAGTCTTAAATAAATGAATTATTGAGGTTTAAATAAGCAAATTATCGAGCCTTAAGTTATTATTTTAAAGTCTTAATCTAATTTCTTAATAGGCTTGTTTATGAGCTTTATATGATATTATTCATAAACAAAACAAACATGTTCAAGTTTTTTCATTTATCAATGGAGATAATTTTAAGTTGAATTTAGTTAATAAAGAGTTTTGTGAGCACACTTTGTGATTCATAACTCAAAGTGGCTGAGCTACTGGTTAACATTTGTGCTTTGACCATGATCGTGAAATAATGATATCATTGTGCGACGAGCCATCTAGTTAAAGGAAATTGGTCTTATCCTCTTATTTTGTAGTGCCACTTAGGGGTAAAATCACTTGGTCAGAGGACACGCGCCATCAACCACATCTATATTGACGTGAGATCTTTAAGAATGATTGTAACAATACATTTGTTATAACATCGACTTTTTTTAGCTTTGGTTAGTCTTAAGTTTGTTACCCTTGGCAAAAAACTATAGAGGGTGGATAGAACGTGTTCTTTAGTTTTAAAAAATAAATTTAACTTGAACAATTTTATATTTTACAATTTTTTTAAAATATTATATTTCATGTGGCTCTAATCTCAAAGTGGTTTACATTGAAATTATATTCTTATATTTCGAATGATGCTTTGTTAGTGATATTTTTGTGATAGTTCACTATGCTTAACTTATACAATTATCATTATTAACAAAAAGTAGGGTTATTCTTTCTCAAAATTTGTCACAATTTGATTCTCGAATAGCTTACGTGGGTCCGTCACTTGCTTCCTAGCTAGTTCGCAATCGACTATATCAGGAGGTTCGGTGCCACAATCTCATTACAGAGGTTTTGTATCACAGTTTTGGTCGTCCTTGTACGTCGCCATCCCTCCTTTGCATAGAATCACTGCTATCTCGCCTTTGCTTCCTAGTCACGACTGCTTCTCTCACTTGCTTGTACGCTGCGACCCCTATATGTTGTGATCCCTGTACACGCGCGATTCTTTCCATAATCAGATGCTCTGATACCAATTTGATTGGAACTAGAAGAGGTTTCCATCAAAATTAAAGGCAACTAAATATTTTATTTCAATAACACCCAACAACATAGCACAAATACATAAAGTTAAGCACCTACATTTTGAGAGTTAGGTGATCTCTCCCAATTCATAATCCTAAGACTTAAGACAACAATCTCATAGCATAGCATGTCCCTAAACATAATAAGCCCTATTTATACCCACAATAATAACTAATAAAAGACTAAATTGCCCTTAGGTGCCAGTCTAACTAGATGAGAGTGCTTTTATCTCCTTTCATTTGTTTAAAATCTGAATGGGAGAGTTGCATTTTCATGTTTTTTTGAGAAAGATGTTACCCCTTTGGGGAGTGGCTTGGGCTAGATTTGAACTTTTTCTTGGGATCTTTGACAATATTAAATAGTCTATATAGACTTGAGAAAGATGTAAAAAATTTCCATATACTCTACATACTCGCTTGCCTTATAAGTTCTCATCTTGTGATGAGTAAGTCAGAGGCTTCTATTGAAGACCTTGTTCAATGTTGGCTACCTTCTAGGGTCACTCATCGATGAGCTCACCAAGGACTTCTAAAGAGGTGAAGATTTTGCTCACCTTCGTTCTTGGGGTTGGAAGTCTTTCTTGGGGACTTATGGAGAGTTGCACGCTCCATATGCTTGCTTACTTTTTGGAACTTTCTTCTTGCGAGTTGCTCTCTGGAATTATTTGTTGGAACCTTGTCTAGGAAACACAATGAAAGTGGTGTAGCCAACGCTTGGACTAGATAGATGATGCCTGCCAAGTAGTCATAGAAGCTACGTAGAAGTACAAATGATGGTTTTGGTTGAGTAATATGTATCAAAGCTACACAACACAACACGACACTAACTATGAAAGTGGTGTAGTCTTTGATGTCCTTTGATTGTTCATGATGGGGTAAGCTAGAGCATATTGCCATTGTGCTTTACTTGAAGTCGGCATATGTTGTTGCTATATCACCATTATTGGCTTCAAAAGAGTTTGCATGAATGTAAATGTTCTTGGTTGCCCACAATTACTTTTTAAATTGTTTGATAAATTTTTGATGTTCAGGATAAATGATTGTTGCGGAGAGATTCATCCCTCTTAGATTTTGACAAGTAGTGAAGATCCTTATGTATAGAGATTGCATTTTGATTGATTTAAATTGATCCAGTGGTGGTCGGAAGATGACTTCTTATAGACGACAGTAAGCTGTTGCACTTCGAAAACTATACTTGAATCTTAAATTTGGGTTTACGCAACATCTCAAGTCCAATATAATGTGTTGCACACAATGAACAAAGTAGGAGGCAATGTCCTAGGGATTTATTCTCGAGAAAACCCTTTAATGCTCAAGTTAGAGATTGAGCTTAAAGTTCAATTAGAACTTTGACTACTTCGATAAAGTTTTTTCTTTGGGATGATGTTTGAGATTCAGAGGAGATTTTTTTTTGTGTACGGGTATAGTTCATGAGTTACAGGTGGATATTTACCATTGGTAATTTAGTGAATCTTATGAAATGAAGAACAAAGGGATTCCCTGTATCTCTTTTTGGAAGGAAATAATTTGAACTCAACAAGCAAGCACCTGCACTTATAAGTCATTTGTATTTCTTGAATTTTTGAAGTAATTATGTAGTTTAGGCTCCTATAATGATTAAAGCAGTTTTTTAAACTTTATTAGTTTTAAGGAATACTTTAAACTATGGAGAATAATTCATAGAACCTCTCAAATATTTGGATAAATCTATTGTTGTTGATGTAACTTTTTGAAATATTGTGCTCTGCAGCTATGACCAATCAACAACTAATGGATGCTGGTGATAGGATGATGAATGAAACTGATCAAGCTATAGAGAGGTCCAAGAAGGTTAGTTGCTTTCTTTGATTATGGTGCAAATGCAAATTTGCAATATCAAAAAGCAAGTTCTAATTATGATTATGTAAGGCTTGTTTTTACCTCATGAAATGTTCAATTTCAATAAAACCGGTGGCTCTAATGTTACTTATTACGAGGGTGAATTATCAGAGTAAATTGAGACCAGTACACTAGTAGATTGATGTCCATCAACCCAAAAACCTAAGCTGATTTCTAAGATCCACTACCAAGTATATTAGGAATTCAAATCTTATTTTATATTTTGATGTGCGACTATTCTTAATTCTCATGCTGATCTTATTATGCTTAATAATCTATGATTCGTAGTGCACCAAACATTGGCTTATCTCTTTTCTTAATACTTTCAATGTGGATTTTAGGTTTCTATGATTTCAGTATTCTTTGAGTCTTCTAATTTTGTTTTGCGCTCTACTTTGTATCACATCACTTTGTGGAATTTCCTATAAAACCATATTCTTTATAAAAGCATGGATGGCATCGGGTCTATTACCTTGCAGATTTTGTTTTGACTGAAGTTGTGGCAAAAAGTCTATTCAATAACTTCTTGTTATAATTGCCAAAGGAAACTCATCTGTTTTTTGCTGATTATTTTATTTCATTTTTAGCATTTTGCACTCATATTTTATTTTCCAAAATTTGACCTTACTTCCTAGGTTTTCAAATGTCTCGACTAATATTTTCCGTTCCATACATTCGTCTTTCTATTATCTAGTCTTGGTAGTTTTTGATAACTGATCAATTGTTGTTAAGATTTAATGGTTTATATTTGTAGCATTTTCTGATTAACTTTGCATGCTTGGCTGTTCCATTATCATCTTTTTAGAAGCTCTCCCGAGAACACGATATGGTAGTTTACCCTAAATTGGATTTTACTTCTCTTGACCCTATATTACTACGATTTTTTAGTGTAGAAAACTATTCTTAACATCTTTATGTGTTGCTATTGCTATCTTTTGTTTATAGCTTGCATTTTGCATTTGATAGCTTCTGTAAATATTCCTAGTCAAATATTTATGTATTAATTTGCACCCTAATATGAGTGCAACTGAATTATAACTTATAAGTGTCTACTTTGCTGAACATCACCTACATTTATTCTATTTTTCATGGTTAATTTTTTATTGATTTCTTTTCCAATATAATCTATAATACATTATTGATGATTGGGCATAAGCCCACAAACGGATGAATATGTAATATTTTGTTCTCTCTTATGCTGTTAGCAATTATTATTATTCAAAACTAGGAATCTCAATAATTGAAAAAAAAAAAGAATAAGTAGGTTTCTTGATATATTATTCTTGCAAATGACAATACATCTAATATGTATTAAATTAAATGAAATCTTATAGAATTGAATGTTGTCAAATACAAATGAATATAAGTCACGAATATGAAAGTAAAATGGGAGACAACATAACAATAATAATTATGCTTTATGTGCCATGGAGATGATGCTATCTTTTGCATTTCATGAATGTTTAATATGAATTAAAACACTTAACTATCTATATTTTCTGTAAGAAATATTTTTTATATTAACTTAACATCATATGTATTAAAATTTAAAAGCTTAATTGTAAAAGAAAAAACTATCTTTTTGTCTACATTTTTTTTCCATTTAAGTTATCTACTTTTTGTTGAGAAAAAAGTCAAAATTTTCACTTGTCTATTGTATGGTGTTATTTTAGGCTTCCAAACTATAAATACATTCAATTTTGTCTCTAGAGACTTTCATTATGATTCAAATTATTCCATCTATTGGAATATTTTGGAGGAAATTAGAAGAGTCGACATGCTATTGTGGATAGGGTTGAGTAATCAAGGGGTTAAAGTTGGCACTTTAGATAGTTTGGGACTAAAATAATCATATGCAAGTAGTCCAAGGATATTTTTGAATTTTCCTTTTTTCTGTTCAAGCAATTTCATCAAACATAGTAGTTAAACATAAAAATTTCATAATATTATGGTGAGTACAGGAGAATAAATAGAGTGAATTGCAACACATGTACACCTTCATACTTAAAATGTAAAATAAAAGGAAAAAGAGGATATCAAAGATGTATATTGTAGGCCAATTGGCTGAAGTGTATGATAAAATTGAAAAAGAGCAGTAGTATAATTAGGCATACAAATTAGAGGAGGAATTGAAAAGGAAAGGGGAACATGGAGCCTAGTTAATGTATTTCTTTAAGAGAGGATGAGAACAACATTAAACCCATATTAAAACCTCCCAAAGACTTTCTTGTTTTCCTTCAATCTACAACACGAATAAAAGCTACCATTGACAATCTCATATTATATTTCCATCGTATGAAGTGTTTAGTGGAGAGTGTGCTATGGACTAGGGGTAAACTATTGCCTACTTTTAAAGTAATGTTCCCAACTTCAAATATAGGGGCCCTAATATCTGATTGATAGCGGATGAAGGCTTAAACTAGTTGGTTCAATATTAAGTTGTTGGTAACATTGTTTAGGATTTTACTAAAGCTTACTCTAATTATTTTCATTTATGCTTGCTTATATCCACGTCATATATTTTTTTACTCAATTTAGAAAGAAGTTGTTAGACCGGATTTAAGCTTGTCAGGTATTTATGCATCTGATAAAAAAAAATGTAAACTCAAAATCAACTTAACTTGATTTTAGTATTCACCCAATTTGCTCTAATATAGTTCTAGACAATTCAAGATGTGATTCATAATAAATGTATGCAGTCAATATATAATCTATTTAGTATAATATGTATAATCTATATTATTTTGTTTATTTAGATAAGCAATTAATTATAAAAACAAGTTGAAAAAAAAATTATATAAGCAATTAATTGAAATGTCACTTTGATTTAACCTCAAACCAATTAAGTTGATTTAGAATCTAATCATTTTGAGTCAAGTTGACTCGATTCCAATTTTTATTGAGTTGATCTTGAATTGAACTTTTTTTTTTTCTTGAGTTAAGCCAATCCTTAAATCTACCTTACAATGTTGGAACATGTCTTTGTCTAATGTATTTTTTTTGGCTTGGAGATGAAAGAACTTTTTGAAGTGCTTGTGCTGCATAGAAAGGATAGCGTTAGAAGATAATGAGTGAGCTTGAATGATCGGAATGAAGACAAAGTACATTTCAAGATTTCTGTGTACATGCAAATAATATGATCAACTAATAGTGATAAAGCATGAATTAATTGTTATTTATAATATGTTTCTATATCTTGGATCCACTTAAAATACGCTCAGAATATAGATGAATTTATAACCAACAATGTCAAACTAGTTGTCTATTAAAATGTTGAGGTGTTCTTAATTAAAAAGATTCTAAATAAACAATAAGATTAAATACCTAGTTACTATGTTTCTATCAACAAATAGGTCAATCAAAACTAAGTTGAGGCACTAAAAAGAAAATAAATATTTCTAAATAAACCTTTTCAATCATAAGGAACACTTTTAAAGAGTTTAAAATGATGAACATTTCATTAAACAATTTCAGCACAATAATAACTTTCAACCTTTATTACATTCCAATTTCAAAGTCTTACAAACTAGATAATCGTAGACAAAAAAACCAATAAAATAATGTTAAAGGGCACCACTTTAAATAACTAAAATGATTAAAAAACTTAATTTTCAATTTCAACTCCATTATCCTTGTTCTCTTGTCAATTTCTCTATTTATTATCCTCCACTTTATCAATCTCACTGTTCAACCTCCTCATCCTCTTAATTTCATATTCTAGAATTGAAGTTCTTCCATATTTTTTTTAGCATAAAGGCCAATAATGATGATGATTTTTAAATTGATTGTCGCACTGTTATCTAACAGGTTGTACATGATACGGTAAATGTTGGCGGAGAAACAGCAGCTGCTCTCAAGGCGCAGGTTGGCCATCCAATAACATCCAACTGTTTGAGAGACTTCTCATCTCTTAACAAAATTTTAGATTAATCTTGATTGGTTCTCTGTGATCCCAAACAAGCTATCTAACATTTTTTTTCTTCAACTTTGTGATTCCGTAGACCGAGCAAATGAGTAGGATTGTTAATGAATTGGACTCTATCCATTTTTCAATGAAGAAGGCAACACAGCTTGTGAAGGAAATAGGCAGACAGGTTGGCTTCTTTACCTTATCTCTGATTTTTTTTTTTTGAAAATATTCATACAATACCGCTCAATTTTTCTGTGTTTACATATCTAACCCCTAAAATTTAAGTTTTACATATATGCCACTTTACCTGTGCATGAAAAGGTGCATTTCACTTTTTAAAAGTTATAATAGTAGTATTTTTTTTTGTGATATATAAAGGATTTCGACGGTAGAAATGTAGAACCTAAAGTTTAGGTGTGAGATATGTGAGTACATAGGAACTTATGCATGCAGATGCCCCTTTTTTATTCTAAATTTTGTTGTTTCTTAATCCTGTGTTCCTCGGATCAGGTTGCTACCGATCGGTGTATCATGGCTTTGCTTTTCTTGATTGTGGTTGGAGTAATTGCAATTATTATCGTAAAGGTTTGACATATTCTGTTCAAATTTACTAGTTCGATTTTTCATTTTTATGGCTCCTGTTTTGTCCGACAATTCTTTAGCACTGAGTGGTATTTTAAATGTTCACCTCTTGGGAGCCACTTGGTGCTCAAGTCTAGCTACCTAATAACAAAATTACCCTAGATGTCCACAATCAAAGATTGAATCGGGCTCAATCATTCAATTGTAACTATTTTGTGTGTGTGAGTGCATGCGTGTATGTGCGTGTATTTCTATGAGTGGTCATGGTTTCAAATCTTTTTTTCAACATTAGTTTTATGGGACATTTACATACATACCACACAATCTTATGTATTTACATATCTAAGGCCTAAACACTTATATGCATACCACTCAAATCTTTTAACAGAATGACAAAAAATATCACAATCACTATCTTTTTTAAAAGCGAAACACAGTTTTTTATGCATAGATTTATGACAACAAAGTGTTATAAATGGAAATTATATTTTGTTAGGACATATATATATATGTATATATTTGCGCCGTGTACTCAGATCAATTGGTGTTGGCTAGGCATCTACTGGTCAGTTGTAAGTCCCTTTTGTCTGGGGTTTGATTCCCCCTGAGTGTAGGGTATGGTACTCGAATTCTTAGGCGCATGAGGGATGGCCGGGGCTCCTACAATAGCCTCCAGCCATTCCTTTTCAAAAAATGCACACACACACACATAAGTATTTTGTAATATGTATGTTAATTTCACAAATTTTATTTAGGAGCTTCTACATACATAGCACACAATTCTTATGTGTTTACGTATCTCTCATCTAAACTTTCATATTTACACATTACTTAAATTTTTAATTTCACATCCAGAATAGCTCTCTCATGTAAACTTTCATATTTACGCATTACTTAAATTTTTAATTTCACATCCAGAATAGCACTATTATTTTATGCTTAGTCTTAAAACACAGAAGTGCTATGTGCGTAAATATGAAAGTTTAGTTGTGAGATATGTAAATAGTTTTAGTCATTATTCTAATTATTTTGAGCATGAAAATATAATAATTATTAGAATTCTGAAGATTTTTTTTTTTTTTAAATAATGTTTATCCATCTATTTATATCCACCCAAATGATGTCTTTTAATAAACTCTATAATCATTCAAAAATATGATTTACAACTGAAGTAACCAATTGACACACTTTAGATGATTTATAGTTTTGATTCTCCCTCAATCTCTATTTTTTTTCTTTTCTTGAATGCTCGCACAGATTGTGAACCCCAAAAATAAAGACATTCGGGACATTCCAGGACTTGCTCCGCCTGTCAACAGAAAGCTACTTTGGGATCACCATTATTATAGATAAAAATCTTCAATTCACCTCGAAATTTTTATACCGGCAAAATCGCTGCCCATCTGTGAGATCCTTAACCTGTGTTTTTAAAATTTTATTTGATTTTTTATTTAAATATCATCTTGTATCATTAGTTGCTTCAACCGTGCCAATTGATACTAATTTTGTGCGTTTCATTTGTTGCCTTTTTTGAATTGCCGAACAGCACTGTGCCTAATTGAAATCACTCACATCTCATGTATATCGAAGTAACATTTTATATTTTGCCTGAAAGCATTTAATTGTCTTGATTTATCCATCTGCTTGAATGATAATTGTCAGCATGTTACAGAATTGGCTTGCTATGTGGATGTGAACTGGAATGCTGTTATTTATTTATTTATTTATTTCACAGATTCTATTCTCTTTATCAGTAATAATTTACTTTTTATTTTATGATTTCATCAAGTAGTGATTAAGATGTGAAAAACTGCATATAACATGTAATGTGTACGATGTGCTTAATTTCAACATTTGACGCTGAAACATAACAAAACAATAATTTCAGTGCAAGACTAGAGGAGCAAGTAATGCTTGAAAAAGAAAATTAATATGCATAGTTCAACAAAGAAAATATTTAAGGGTACTTGCATATGTACCATCTAATTCTAGATACACATGCATATCTAACACCTGAATTTTATATTTTACATTTGTACCACTCAAATCTTGCATATCACATTAAAAATATTGTTTTTGTAACTTTTAAAAAGTCAAATACACCTTTTAATGCATAGATAGGATAACATATATGTAAAACTTTTACACGATCTATATGTGAACAAATTAAAATCGAGCCTTGAATGTTAATAATTCAATATAAGAAATTAATAAAATATAGAACTATGGGGTGTTAACGAGCTCACAAGCAGAGCTTATTGAGCCATGAGCTCGGGCGCAAACTTGATATCATTTATTAAATGAGTTTGAGCTTCAGCTTTGCTTTTTGGCTTGCGAGTCGATTAGATTAGCTTATAGTTAGTAATTTCGTTGTATTTTTCAATGGGCTTTACTACTTAGTCATTTTGATGCATTTTCTGAATGAGTTGTCATTGCATCCTCCTTCGGCCATCAATATCTTTTCCGGTGCGCTGTTATAAAAGATGATTTTTTTGTTCAAGCCCGCAAGCAGGCTCATAAGTCTGATGTTATCACGATGACTCGAGCTCGAGCTTAACTCATTTACAACCCTCGATAGAACTCATAGAAGAGTAAATAAGGAATAGAGGCATTTGTAATATCAATTTATTTATCAAACCACAAGTGATACAATGACTTTTATCTTTAAACGGTGTAGCTGTACAATTTATACTATGAAAAAAATATGAATTCCATTTAAAAAGAATTGTAACCTAAATCTTTCTTAAGAAAAAAAAGTCATAATTACCATTTCATCCATTTGTCAGTTTTCTTCAATTAAGCTGTAATGATGAAAACTAATGTTCAAGTAAATAAAGTAAAAAAGAAAAAAGTGGTCATAAGGTTTAAAAAAAATTACTAAAATATGAAGAAATTTCCGAGAAGAGTGGGTCCCAAACGTTCACGAAGAAGGCTAAAGTGTTGTCTAATTGACGAAAAAATATTACATCAGGACTCTGAACGTTGCTGTTGTGTTACATGAATATTCTATCTGTGTTATTTATAAAAAATGAAGTATTATTCGAGTATTATATGATGTTATTTGATTATATTGCGGTGTTATTAGAATATTTCCCCGCATTACCTGATTTGGGTCTGTGTTATTCGACATATTCCCCGTGTTATTTTAATTTATACTATATTATTGGAATAACATAACCCCAAATCAAGTAACGTGGGGAAATATTTCAATATCACCGTAAAATAATTGAATAACACTTCATTTTTTTACAAATAACACAGATGTAATATTCCTGTAATACAGCTCGATATATCTAAATATTGCAATCTGAATAGTTTTCCTTAATTCACAAGAAACATAATAATAATAATAATAATAATAATAATAATAATAATAATAAGAGAAAATTTGCATCATACAATATAATTTTTATGTATTTACAGATCTCAAATCAAAATTTTGATATTTACACTTATCATATCTTTGTGTCATAAAATTAAACACAAAACTGTATTAATATTAATATTTTTTATGTGATGTTAAATGTTTGAGTTAGTGATATACATTTAAATATGTTAGATATGAACGTGAATGTTAGTAAATGCTCCTAATACTAATAATAATAATAATAATCACAGTGGACCGTTTAGAATTTAAAAAATATACACGTAAGAAAAAGAAAGGCATTTGTCATTATACGGAAAAATAAGAAAACGAGCTAAATGATTTGCTCGCGCCGCGACGTCCAATTCGCAATTAACAACACGGCACTCAGAGGGCAAGTCAACAAAGCCTTGGCAGTCAACGAAAGATTGATGCTTTCCTTAAGAAAAGAATATTTTAATAAGTGATGATTTATTTTATATTTATTGATTTCCTTAAAATAATTTTATTGACATAAATTATCTATTATTGAAATTGCTTGCGTGCGGTAGACTTTGCCTCATTTTGGATTATTCAGATTTTTATCAGTCTAAGATTTTTTTAAAATTCAATATGCTGTTGTAGCATGCCCATTCTGAATCATAATAAACAGTTAATTGCAACAACTCAGAATTCACGGCTTAAGAAAAGTGTGTAATTCCATTGATTTATTGCAGCATTTAATTAATATTGTATCAAGAAAAAAAAAATTATTGGAATTTTGTGTATTAGGGTCAGTTTGTGGCAGCTGCAACTTATTAATAAGCTGCTGCGCAACAGCTGTCACTGAAAGTTGATGTGCAAAAGCTGTTGCGATAAGTTGACTGACTGTTTGTTTATTGCTGTTTGAAAAACATCTGTTTCAGGACAAATGATTATTTTGCTCGTGCGTAGTAATGTTATTTGCAACAAAACTATCATAACAATACATTTGATATTTTAGAAACAAAAAAAAAATTACTCTATAACAATGAAATAAGTATGATTTACACCTCACTTAACATTGAGTATCATCATTACTAAGATAAAGAAAAAACTAATAAAATAACATTTATTATTATTTTTAAAATGGAGACGACGTATTTCATGAGCCAAGCTATCCTTAGGGATACTATCTATTTCTGATCACTCTCGACGGTGGACTCTGCCAGCTTGTTTGCCAATCAGAAGAAGTCACACTCTCCGTGATTCTCCGCAGGCACATGCATAACTATCTCCCGTAGCTATGTGCCTGACGTGACGTCAATAGGGAACTCTGAAGTCCATAGTGGTACAACAATCTTCGGGAGGTACTAGAAATCATCAAACTCATCTTTCCTAAATGCTTTAAAAGACAATCCATTAGTCATAACAAAAGTAAAAATTTTCTTCAGAAACAATTAATTAAGTAGGCGTGATCTCTTAGATAACTCAGTATACCAACCAATGAATCTGCCACTACAAGAAGACAACGTAACTTGTCAAAAAAATGGTTCTTGATTGCTTTTAATTCACGTAATACTAAACTCGTGTGTGTTACATATGCATATTACCAAAAAAGGCCATACAGAAGAACCTTAGAAACAATACTGCCGAAAAAAAAGAGCGGAACTTGGTTGCCTTCAATGTAATTTCACATGTGACACCGACCAATATTGACAATCATTTCATCTAAAAGAACCCTTAAGATCTCATGTCTCATCATGGTCCTCTCAAACCCACTAAAAGAAAAAAAAAACACTAAGAAACATCATAAAAAATCCAAATAATTAATATTAAATATACAAAGAAATGAAATAAACATGAACTGTATAAAATAAACAAGTCGAAATTGATAAAAGAAGTAATTAAATATAGTTTTGTGCAGGCGTGAGATTTTAGAAAACTTGGTATACCAACCAATTAATCTGTCACTACAAGAAAACAACAAATATTGTAAAAAAAAATTTTTGGTTGTCTTTAACCCAAGTAATACCAAGCTCGTGTGTGTCACATATGCATATTATAAAAAAGGACCATTCAGAAGAACCTAAAAAACTGTAACATTAAAAAGAAGAGAGGAACTTGGTTGCCTTCATTAGTATTTCAAATGTGACACCAACCAAGAAAGACCAATAGGTCATCCAAAAGAACCGACTTCTTTAGTCTTAACCATTGCGTAACTAGCACAAATAAAAAAAATATTCATATTTGAAAGCAACCACAACCCACACATGAGCCAACGTCCACAACACAACATTAAACCAAAACATTAATATTTGACACAATCCACACCTCCGCAACACAACCACAACCTCCACACACAACCAACTCCAGCCACAATCAATTGTCATAACTATTTTATAAATACTTTTTCTCATTCCTTGGAGCCTATCACATTAAAACTTCGTTCCTTTTACAAGCATACTGCACTGCCCATCCCCTTCTCCAGTATAAGTTGTTTGTAAGGAAACAAATCAACAATTACCTTAAACACCACATATCTTTAATAACCTCAAACACCCAACCCACAACACAACCACCATAACTCACATCCATCACACAATAACCATCCAACCACACCTCCACACACATCCCACAACCACCACGCCACAAGACACAACATCACAACCACCCAACCCACAACACATTCACTAGAACCCACAAAAAAGCCACCACAACTTACTGCACAACTACCACAACCCACAAAACAACCACCAACCCAAAACCACCAACTCACAACCACCACACCGCAACCACATATACATTTAAATAT